ACTGGCTTGTATGTATATTTAGTATGTTTCAAAAACTAACTTCATTTTCATATAAATCCCAAAATCTGTAAATCAATTCTATTAAGCTTTTGAAAGACTACAACTGAGGTATCAACACAATGTCAAAATTGGAATCTTTGGACAAACCCTTCCACCATGGCTGTATAGAAAAAAGAGATAAACAAGAATCACATTACTGTGAGTTATATATGGAAAGTGTTGATTTATTGATGCCCAGTTGGCAGGGTACCAGTGCAACCTACACTCACTCGCTCCCATGTACACAGCAAGAGAAACAACCACTCACCAAGCCCTTGGTTCAGGATACTTCCTGAAGAGTGGTCCCTTACTTCCAAATACAGAATGAGGCCTCAGAAAACCTGGAAGCAGGAGAAGGCAAAGTAGATAATGGAAATCAGTGCAGGACCTGACCTCTGGTGATGGAGCAGCAAAGGTGAAAGTCTGTTTTTCTTGGATGCACACTCTCAAGCAGAGAGGACACATGGAATTGAAAGTGATGCGCTGATTGTTAGAAGAGTGCACAGCAGATGCTTGGCTGACAGAACTCAAAGAAATCAGCACAAAATATCCCCACAATTAATTCTGAGAACAAGAACCGAGCTGCCAAATTTGAGCTTGCCGTGGCTGCAGAAAATGAGGCTATGGATGATGGCACACACTGTGTCTCAGGGTTCTGGAGTAAGTTGTGGATTTTGGTTGGCCCTACCAAGAGAGGATACTGAGCTTGAACCTCAGTGAGAAAGCAACAACCCTGGGGCACAAAGTAGAGTTTATCAAAATGTCCCATTGCCACATCCACTGTATCTGCAGGCCCAGTGACCAATTTGTCATTTTGCCAATAGAGCACATGTGGGGCTCAATCAGAGAAATCATGCATCTTGTCTGAGGGATCTGGAGGGCCTTGGGTTTTAAATCAGTTTCCAAAGCCTTAGGATCAGCTAAATTCCTAGCCTGGACTGGGATTACAGTCTGGTATGAGGCAGAGAATGCAGGAGAGCTCTGTGGTTGCCTTTGTGGTCCCAAGCCACAGGGATGAGAGAACAAAGAATAGTGGTCTAGGTCCGTAGCATGAGAAGATGAAGCATTTCCTTCTGCATTATATCCCAAATGCAGATGCTACATTTTGGATGACACTGACATGGTATGCCACCGAGGACAACTAAGTGGTTCTGTGTGATAATGACAGCAGGCCCAGATGCATGAAATTCTTAGATATGTTTCCACAGCTTTTTCTGTTGACAGAGAATCTCTGGGAAGAACTGGGCACATTGGGACATTCACATGGAAATAGAAAGGTCAATGGCACTGTCAATATGCTGTTTTGAAAACACTCCAAAATGACATAAAGCTGTCTGCAGAGCTGAAACTTATAGATGCTTCGTTTCCACAAGAAGAATGGTCATGTCCACTTTAAGAAAAGTGACATAAGCGTATTAAAAAGGGAATTATTCTCAATGATGAGAGTATGGTGTGTTCAACACAGAAAGGCATCACCAGCATTTAGAGTTATACCAGACAACCCACACACATAAACGACATGGCTCAATGTGTAGGAAATATTGTCCTCACAGAAATATTATGGAATTGCGTACCCAAAAGAGACTAAAACGTTCACTTAACAAAGCCCTACAAGTCTACTTTAGATACCTGATACTACTTGACCAGTAGAGATAAAGAAGTATAGTAAAAGAAACAGGAAGTACCATTCTCAGTTCCAAAGAGATTGAAGGCCCTAAGTAAAGCTTTCAAACAACTGGATTGAGAAACACTACCAGAGCAATTATTGAAAACTTAAGTGAGAGAAACAGTAAAGAACAACATGTCCATCAACAGATGACTAGATAAAGAAGATGTGGTGTATTTATACAATGGAATACTATACAGCCATAAAACCCGACAACATAATGCCTTTTGAAGCAACATGGATGCTCCTGGAGAATGTCATTCTAAGTGAAGTAAGCCAGAAAGAGAAAGGAAAATACCATATGAGGTCACTCATATGTGGAATCTAAAAAACAAAAACAAACAAAAACAAAGCATAAATACAGGACAGAAATAGACTCACAGACAGAGAATACAGACTTGTGATTACCAGGGGAGTGGAGGGTGTGAAGGGATAGACTGGGATTTTAAAATTGTAGCAGAGATAAACAAGATTACACTGTATAGCACAGGGAAATATACACAAAATGTTATAATAACTCACAGGGAAAAAAAGTGACAAGGAGTGTGTATATGTATATGAACGACTGAAAAATTGTGCTGAACACTGGAATTTGACACAACATTTTTAAATGATTAAAAATCAATAAAAAATGTTAAAAAAAAGTGTCTCAGAATCACAAAAGGCAGAAATCAGAAAAGGGGAAGAGAACCTCTAAGACGAACCATATAAAATCAGAAAGCTCAACAGATGAGATAATAGCAGGGCAAAAGTCAGTCCTAAGCAAACTAGATAATGCAGAGGGACTTGTGAATATCTGTGAACACAGAGGAACAGAAATCCCTCTATCAGAAGATGACATAGTAAAGCAAGTGAAAACCAATGCAAATATTGCTGTTGAATCCTGGGGTAAGACAAAGCATGAAAGACTAGGATTCATAAGAGTCCCAGAAGGAAAAGCTAGATATAAAGAAAAAAAACTGAAAAGATATTAGTAGAAAAATCAGACTGAAACTTGCTGATATCCAAGAAACAATCATCTATAAAAAACTAGGGGCAAACAGCATCCAAATTATATGGAATCACAGTAGACTTAAAAGCAGCTGTATTATCTTTCAAATCTTCAAAGTTCATGATCAACCCAGTGATTTTAAATGTACCTAAAGAAAGCAACTTAGTCAGAACAGAACCTTCAGAGGGGTTTCAACTGATACGTCTACAGAAATTTTGCAGGACAGGAAGGAGTGCCAGGACATAGACCAAATTCTGGATCAGAAAAAGCTGCCATCTAGGGTAGCCTATGCCACAAGAGTGCCATTTCTGATAATGGCAGAGCTAGACAATTTCACAGACCGGCAAAATGTAAAAGAAGTCAGCAGTTCAAAACTTATCATAAAACTAAGATTGAGAATTCTACCCTGAATAGAAAAGTAGCAAGATGAAATGGAAATAAGAAAACCATCTTTAGAAATGAAAGAAGAGCAATGAGTTGCAGGAAATAAACAAGAAGAAGGCAAGGAGGAGAGCAAAACCCTAATGATGGGAGAGGGAAGCAGGAAAACATAGGTGATTCTCAGCACTATACTAAGTTAATCAGCTTATATGACTCTCTGAAGCAAACGGAGAGATGCATGGCCTAATGTGTTTGCAAAACAAAGAACAAGCAAATAAACAAACAATTAAACAAACAAACAAACACCAAAGAGTACGGTTGACTGACATATACCCAAAGGAACCATAATAATTCTAAAGAAAATACTCAAACGGATAACAAGTATCATTCAGCACGCATCGACCCAGTATCACTGCTTGCATATACTCAACACACTGTTATTCAGATTACAGATGTATGCAAAAATATTCAAATATACTGATTCATATCAGCACATCATGACCTAACCCAAATGCCTATTTTGAATAAAATCAATTAGTATCCCATAATATGGACTTACTAGTCTTCCAACAGGATGAATGAATGGCTTGTTCAACCCTACATAGAGTATAGATGGCATACGCTTATAACAAAATAATTAGCTCTACAAAACTGTACTAAGAGCAAAAGAGACAGACAGTAAAGTGTACATTGGGATTGGCTTCATTTCTAGGAATTTCAGCCTCCATGAAACAAATGGATCCATGTACTGAGAGTGTGGGTGTTTCAACCAAAAAGCAACAGATGGATATGTATTCTGGGTGAATGGATATTACACAAACAAAAAATTCCTATAGTGGGGTCTTTGTTTACTGTTAAGTGTTAGAAAGGTTAAAGACGTTTGGAACCATAAACTTACATGGGCACACTTCCCTCTCTTTGTACTGTGTATAGAGATCTGAACTAAAGGTAAGAGGGTAGGAAAAAAGGACCATGGGGTGCTAATGGAGAGAATCACTTTTACCTTAGGAACCTCTCTTCTGATTCAGTCCCTCCCCCATCACTGACAAGATGCAGCAACCATTGGGGATGGAAGTTACCGGTTGGATTCCAGGTAGAATGTTGGTGTGTTCTGCAAGGCTTGTTGTGGCTGGCGGATCCAAGATAACTGGGCAGAGCTCTGTGGGTGGATCAGTGTCATGAAGGGTCTGCTGACATCTGTGGAGCTTGGATTATGTCTCTTGTTCGGGAAGCTTAGTAAGTTCGAGATACTGTTGCTGCCAAATGGGCTGAGTTAACTAGTCAGTTTCCAGATCTGACAAGGCAGACAGTGGAAGATATTCCTGTCATCAGCTTACCGCTGTGGCTCTGAGATACTTTTAGGCTTGCCGATTACTGTAGAATTCTACTAATGAGAGACACGAAGACAGACTTAAGAAAAGCTGGGTGCACAGATTGAGGAAATTTATGAACACATTGATGAGGGTTGTTCAGCTACTATAGAGAATACTGGCATGGAGGGATTTGTAGAGAATACCAGGCTCAAAAGATATTCATGGGACATTTTGAGCTCTGCTGAAACTGACAGAAACCTGTGGAGGGTCAACATGCACTTGATGAAGGTACTCAATTCTCTGCTTCTAGAACTGGTCCAAAATTCATGCAGTCTGAAACAGAAGAAATGGCAGAGATTATTAAAGTTCTCATCTTCTTGTAGGAGGTTGAGAGAATCCGCAAGTCATAAGGGGCATGTACAAACCAGTCAGACCATCAAGCCACAAGCCCTTGTAAGCCTTTTCCCAGGGTTGGGCCTAGCTCTCAAGCACTTGCTCTCCCCCCCTCCACTCAGCCATCCATTCCAACGGATCAGCACCTGAGATGCAATCAAACCAATAGGAGCACAGAAAGCCCCTCCTTGTATCAGTGTTAAAATTCTTTAACATCCTGTGCACAACAGTGAATTTCTCCATGGTCAACTACTCTCGACTAAAATAGATTGGAATTGAATTCTTAGCTTACACCACAAAATGATGACCTTCACCTAGATTCAGCAAATACTGGGGATATGTCTTCTTTGGGGAGAAGGGGGTGTGGTAAGTGAGGGGAATCTTTGACTGCACTTGTATATGTATTTGGCCTCAGTTTTTCAAGACAGTATAGGTAAATATTATAAGTCAGATAGTGAACGGAACTGTAAAAGTCGCCAATGACATTAAAGACACAGCTTATGTGGACTTTCTTTCATTGAGTCAAGCCCCCGTGGGCACTATATCATGGGGGTGCAGACTCGGTTGTGTTAAATTGCTTTACCCAACATGATGGGATGATTAAATAATCTCGCCTTTGATAGAATTGCACCTGGTTCTCAATAGCCTAGCAAACCTGAAGCAGTGTTCTCATAGCTATAATTCCCCTAGGTCCTATTGGAATCAAGCCTACATAAATATGTTGGTTGTTTTAACTTGTTTTATTTTTTCTAGAGAGGAATGTTGCACCATGAATTGCCATCATTGGCCATTATGTGTCATTGAGATGAAAGGGTGCCACATGCATAAGGGAAACATAGGGTGGGGAATATTTCATGGTTCCAATAGTTATTTCATGGTTCCTGTATGTGTTGGAAGCCTCAACGGTAAAGTGTTGACCTGTCCCCTTAATCACTTTGTGCTGCTATTTTACATTCTTTTTGTCTATTTTTTTTTAGAGCTGAAAAACTGGTACCTGAACTTCACAAGTCTGGCTTGTAGCTAGATTTAGTATGTTTTATAAATTAACTTCATTTTCATACAAATCCCAAAATATGTAAGTCAATTCCATTATACATTTGTAAGATTGCAACTGAGGTAAGAACATAATGTCAAATATGATTCTTCTGACTAACTCTCCCAGCATGGTTGTACAGATAAAAAAGCTAAACAAGAATCACATCTCTTTGAGTTAAGTCTGGATAGTGTTGATTTATCAATGCTTGTTTGGCAGAGAACAAGTGCAATCTTCGTTTTCTCACCCCCATATACACAGCAAGTTAAACATCCACTGACCCAGCCCTTGGATCTGGACACTTGTAGAAGAGTGGTCTCTTACTTCCAAAGACATAAAGAGGCCTCAGAAAACCTGGAAGGAGGAGAAGGCAAATTAGGGAATGGAAACCAGTGCAGGACATGACCTCTGGTGTTGGAGCAACAAAGGTGAAATTCTGTTTTATTTGGATGCACACTCTCAGGCCGACAGGACACATGGCTTTGAAAGCAATGCACTGAGTGTTACAAGAGAGCACAGCAGCTTCTTGGCTGACAGAACTGAAAGAAATCAGCACAAAATTTCGCACAAATTATTCCAAGACCAAGATC